GTTCCGATCCGAGCCGCTGTCATCCTGTCAGTTTTTGGATGACAGCGGCTCTGTGTAGCGTGGCCGAGCGGGGGATCGTTAAATATCAATGATATTTAACGATCCCTCTGTGCAGAGCAAACACCGGAGTGATCGTCTGATCACTCCGGTGTTTGTAAATAACTGGGGACACATAGTACTATGTGTCCCCAGTTATGAATGAACAGGCTGCGATCTACATCACAGCCTGTTCATTCAAGAATTTATGAATGGGGACTAGCACTCACTACAGAGGCTCCTCCCCATTCAGAAACTAATGAGTTTTTTTTACTATCATTAGTTTGTGAATGAATGAGAAGCCTCTGTACTGAGGCTTCTCATTCATTGAGTGCTGGGGCTGCAGAAAAAGAAATTGAGGACTTATGTCCTGAATTTCTTTTTCTATTTCAAAAGGGAAATGTCAGGGGTCTATTTAGACCCCAGATATTTCGCCGCATTTGTTGCTGGTGGAAACACACGCGTAAAAAGGTTTAGTGTGTCTAGGTAAAACCCAAAGGAGTGTAGCAGTGACTCGGAGAGAGAGTCGCTTTGTGCAGAAGGGGAATGTGAATGCCTGGTGTAGGGTTCCCTTTTTCTTGGCTGCCTGTGTTCCAACCCCGGGATTGAAACAAGAGGGGGGGATATGTGGCAGCTGGCAGGTGGGTATGTCTGTGTTCAGGTGTACTAATGAAGTTCTTCCTCTAGGGGGAAGTGCTGAGAGTGCTGGAGGCTCGGAGGTAACAAGCCCAGCTGAAGCTAGCTGGCTTGTTAGGGCCTCTACAAGAAGTCCCAGCCTCCTAAGAGAAGGGCCCCACCCTAGAACCAGACTGTGTGTCTGGTGGACTGGGGAGCAGACAGCCTGTGTGGGGCAATCCGCCTGTGTGGCAAAGAAACAGCCTTTGTGGCAATCTTCCTGTGTGGCAATCCGCCTGTGTGGCCAGTGGACGTTTAGGTTAAAGGACCAACTTGAAGTCGGTGAGACTGAAAACTGTTGACAGAAAACAGTTCTTTATGTTTGAGAACCCCTGCGAGGGAACACCTGTATGGACTTTTCTTTTGAATTGAGCGTTAATAAAAGTGGGCAAAGAAGCCCTAACAAAGTGAAAAGTGAGTGGCAGTGTACTGAATGTGCTACCATGTGAAGTAAATCCTCACTGTGTGTGTGTGTGTGTGTGTGTGTGTGTGTGTGTGTGTGTGTGTGTGTGTGTGAGAGAGATTTGTCTCCTTTTATTATCTTTTCCTGTATATTTTCTGCACCGTTTCTTTTATTAAGGGACGATCTTAAAAATCGTTAAGCACATCTCTACGCTCTAAATACGAACTTAAAGTATCCGTGCCTGCAGTGCAGTCCGGTGCGATCAAAAAAGTGGTTGCAACATTTTGATCGCACCGGACCACACTGCAGGCACAATGTGCCTTGCGAACCCATGCAGGCGACCGCAGGGCGGCCGGAGGGCGTGGATACGGTGCCATTCACTTCAATGGCCCGCCACGCCATGCCCCCTCCAGCCGGCAAACAAGTGAGCTGGCCGCAATGCAAGGCAGTGCATTCCGGCCAGAATCGGACTGGAACGCACTGCTTATGGTGTGAACTAACCCCAAATGTTTATACATACAGTATATACCTTCTATCCAGGTGAGACAAAGCTGTAGTAATCCAGCTAGAAAAGGCCCTCATCATGGACTGAGAAAGCGCTGTACACTCGAGTTGTACAAGAAAACCGAAGGTTGTAACCAGAGCAATCAGTAAAGACCCCACACCTGTGAGGCAAACACTCCCAGGCCAATACAATTAATGGATCGGCTCAAGGTGCCCATACACCTGCCAATTATCGTACGAGATGCAGAGATCGGGAAATGTCTCAGTGCCTGTGATTGGCGCTGCGGCGCTGTCAGCTTCCTGGCGGGCTCAGCACGTGGAGCAGCGAACACACCCGAGCCCATCACTACTCACAACAAGCCCAGCCAGGTAGTAAATCATAGTTGCTAACGGCAACAAAAAAAAAACTTCCTTAGCCCTGAGGCACTGTGCTAGTGCAATCAGAAGTCCAACATCTGCATATGTTAATGAACGTTTATAAACCACAGTATGCTTGCAGCACTATGCAGAGCAGTGGCGGGCCTAATAACCAAAGGGCCCTGGTGCAAGATTTTATCTTGGGCCCCCTCCCAAGACGGGGGGGGGGGACGGCCTCCTCCACCCCCTCCCCTGTCACCTCTGCCATGCCGCCCCGGTACAGTTGATACCAATGTAAGAGGCCCCCCAGACCCCTCACATGGGTACCAGCCATACCCGCCTGATGGCGGTGTTCTATCAAAGGTTGTGACTATGTTAGAACGTGTCATACGTTTTAACGTAATCCCGCCCAGTTTTTCAGCAGTGGAATGTGTGACCGCCAATAGGTGAAACATTCCAGCGCTTTCCCAGCTGTTCCAGGACAGATGGACATTGCAAATCGCATGTGCAGGAGAACCGATCTGCCCTGAAACAGCTGATCGGTCCTGAAATGTCACTTCTCTCCGACTGCGATCTCACATTCCACCGCACTCACAAAGTCGGATAGAAGTGATATTTCAGGACCGATCAGCTGTTCCAGGGCAGATCGGTTCTCCAGCACATGCGATGCCGATCTGCCCTGGAACAGCGGAGAAAGCTTTGGAATGCTTGACCTATTCCACCACCGAAAAACTGGGCGAGATTACGTTAAAATGTGTGACCACGTCACTGGTCACACATTATGCCTGTCTGTAATAATTTAATCAGAGAAATAGATTATAATAGGGAACATTACAGTCTAATATTCCCCATTATAATCCACTTGTCTAATTACATGAAATAGCAGTACACAACCCCCCCCCAGCCCTTTGCCGCCGCCCCCCGGAAGTGTTTGTAAATGACACAGCGCAATCAGGCTGCATCACCTCCCAAGTGTCCCCCCCACTGTGCCCTGCCCGCAGTATGGGGGTAGGAGGAAGGAGACTTCCCTGAAGAATTCCAACCTACCCTGGAACCATTAGTGTCCGTAAATGACACAGCGGAATCAGGCTGCATGGTGTAGCACTGCCGACCAGAGGAAGCTGGCTGGAACACCATGTTCACGACTGCTTGTGGCTCCGTCCCCCGCGCGCTGCACTCCCTCCCTGGCGTCTGTGGATGCTGGTGCCAGGAGTACTCACGACTCATCTCATATCTGTCCATTCAAGGAGGCCCAGGATGCTGCTGGATATGAATATCCAGAACATGCCAGCATAGGGAGCATGGATGGCCACAACCCCATTCAAAGCAATGCAGAGGAGAACTCTGAGCCGAACCAAATGTGAGTAACCAGTCTACCAGAGCCGATATGCACCCGGGGATGGTTGCTTTTCCTCAAGGTGGGTAAGAAACCTCGGGGATAGATGGGGGAGGGAGGATCCCATAAATCAGGATAACCAGGAGGTCAAGCCTAGACATGCAATACACACACACACACACACACACACACACACACACACGTCCAATGTCCCTGTTTTGCACCCCTTTTATTTTAATTGTGGATGATGGGTTTCCTGTTTTAGGTGGGTGGATCCTATCTCTCCTGTGCTAACCTGGAAGATGAATTAGGAAGAATCAGGTTGTATGAACTGTGCAATCATGGAGTGTTGTCTGCAGTGATAAGAAGGCCATGGATTGGCGGAAACAATAGCAATAATGGAACACACTCACTGGGGACCAACTGAAGGTGGAGGTGTGAAGTAATACTACAGCGTCCAGCCCAGAGTGAGTAGCGGGATCCCCAACTCTCAGTTTTAAAGAGGGTCCTTGGAGTCAGGGCCGTAGATAATTTTTTTTCCCTGGGGGGGGTTCAGCTTCCTCAAATTAAGGAGTCACTGGCTCAGAACAAGCATGCAGATAATGATCTCTCTCTTTTCCAACAGGTATACTTGTCATGACCCAGTGTCTCAAATTAATAAAGTCAAAGCATCAGCATAACAGCCAAGCAAATCTTATTTTCAGAAGGTGCTAAGCAGCAATGTCAGCCCAATATCTCTAATTTTTTGTGTAAACACTTAGGCTCCATTAAAGGAGAACTATGAGGTGAGCGCTTTCCACTCACCTCATAGTTCTAGCCGACCTGTGACAATGAGACTGTCATAGGTCGGCTCAGTAGATCGGGAGGTGAGCGAACACATAACGGCGTTCGCTCACCTCTCGATCCTGTCACGGCTCTCTGCCGTAACAGGGGAGGGGCTGGATTCCACCCTCCCCGCTCGGATCCGCCAGCGCTGACTGGCGGAACGGACGGGGGAGGGTACAGCTGGCTCTGCCTTTAGATAGGCAGAGCCAGCTGTCAGTCACGCAGCTGGGCGGATCCCGGCACAATTGTCGGGATCCGCTTCAGCTGCGGCGTCTCAGTATACTGCGAGCTATACGGAGCCTAGGGTGACGGGAGGACGCTAGTTTGTGTCCTCCCGTTACCCTAAGGAGTTTTATGGGGAAAAGACTTAACCCCATAGTTCTCCTTTAACGCCTATATGTTTATTATCAGTATCTCTCTGTAATAATCTGCCCCCCATCCCTGTGTGACACCCAACAACGTCCTGGCTGTCATGCCATTACTATGGCTTTCTTACTCTGACTCAGAACAAGCATGGAGAGAAGGACTTCCCTCATCTGCATACTTGCTCTGCATCAGTGACTCAGACACCGATCCAGAGCAAATTATATGACCCACTGGCTTAATTCAATAGAATAAAGCTAATGGGTCATGAAACAGCCAGTTGGATAGCATTTTCCGAGGGTCTGCAATGGCAGTTGAAATATTATTCTTATGACAGGTTTACCTAAATATCTGCAGTGCAGATGCAATGAATGGGTAATGTGAGAAGCCTGTGTTACAGCCTGTTGACATATAACGGAGTACATTTGCTTCTAAACTAAAATCAGTTTTGACACAACTCTGTTCCACATGTTCTCACATCCAAGTCGTCTGCACACTCACCGTAACCTGTGTTTAGCAGCAGGATTGAGCTTTCGGATTTCAGAAAATGTAAGGTCACTTAGCTTGCCAGAACCATCTGTAGTTCTCTCCACAGTGTCATCATGCATGAGAATAGGAACTCCATCTTTGGTGAACTCCAGGTCCAGCTCTACCCCAGTTGCACCATTTTTTGCAGCCTGGAAGAAATGATGACATTAGTTTAATATATTCGCTGAAGACTTTCAGAAGATATTTCCAATACGTACATAGCAAAACAAAAGTTACACAATCTATAGTCACATGACTTTGAAAGGTTTGTTATGTTAAAGCTGTCCATTCATTCTGAGTGCACCACATTCATTCAATAATGCAGCACATATTTTAATGGACATGCACCCTTTGTTTACACAGCACAGCACTCAAATGGTTCATATATTGATACTTGATATATACTTGGAGCTTAGAGCTGCAGCTAACGATTATTTTCAAAATCAATTAGTTAGCCGATTATTAAGTTCGATTAATCGGTTAATCGGATAAACAATACAATACATTTTAAAAAATGGCTCCAGTGATGGACTACTAGTTTGTATTGAGATTGCACTCCATCACAGGAGCAAGCTTGGAGCGGTAGAAGTAAAAAAGAAAAGAAAAAAAAAATAGTGGTGTGCAATATAGTGAAAAGGAAAGTGTAAAATTATACAGCATTCAATGCAGAATGGCACCGACTATAGAGGACTACAAATCCCAGCAATAGTACATTATAGCTGGCGGTATTCTGCATTGCACTGTATAATGTACTATTGCTGGGTTTTGTAGTCCTCTATAGCTGGTGGTATTCCGCATTGCGCTGTATAATGTATTATTGCTGGGATTTGTAGTCCTCTATAGCTGGTGGTATTCCGCATTGCGCTGTATAATGTATTATTGCTGGGACTTGTAGTCCTCTATACAGCGCAATGCAGAATACCACCAGCTATATTAGGAGCACCCAGCAGTGTATAATGTATTCCTCTATAGCTGAGGTTCAATGCTCTGTATAATATACAGCACAATGTATATTCAGCTATAGAGGAATACAAATCCCAGCAATACATTATAGAGCACCATGTGTGGGAAAGTGCAGGCTTACCTGAGCAGTCTTCCAGCAACTTGCTTCTGAGATCGGACCTGTCTATCAGCGGCTGTCATCCCCCCACACCTGTTCCTCCTTACTACATCTCCCCGCGTCCCTGTGCCGATCGTGGATGTGGGCGGGCGGTGAGTGTGAGGCGGGGAGGAGGTGCGGCGTGAAGGCGGGCGGGCGGGTCTGGCAGCGGCGAGCGTGAGGTGGGGAAGAGGTGCGGCGCGCAGCGTGTGTGGAGCCGTGAACAGGGCCAACTGATCAGAAGCCGATTAATCGATTATTGAAAAAGTTGACAACTTTTTCAATAATCGATTATAATCGATTATGTCGATTAGTTGTTGCAGCCCTAGAGCTTACTCTATAGGGAGCAATTTGTTCAATAGACCAATGAGGTGAATGGTAGCAAGTGGTTAAATATCTCAGCAGTAAGAGTTACAAACATAAATGCCTCTAAGGACCACAGAAAAGTATGCCTTACAAAAGTATAACACTCTACACACAGAAAGTTCAGGAAATACCGCACTCCACTGGATCTTCATTTAGGCTTACTAATACAGAATACTCTACTCATACGGGTCTATTCACTAAGCTGCCGAGGGCAGCCGAGTGAACAACCGACCCCAAGTGAAGTGAGCCGAACACTGTTCGGCTATTCACTTCAGGCTGGTACGGCTGATGGCTGAAATCAGCCGTACATCGGCTTACTTTGCATGACTTCGGGTCGGCCGAACATGCTCAGCATGTTCGGCTGACCCGAAGTGCAGAAGGAGTTTGACTCAGCCGATCCAACATCTGGATCGGCTGAGCCGAACCTCCGGCAGGCTACTCACTGCTGTTCAAGCATATGCGTTCGGCCCGACTAAGCCGTTTGGCCACGTTCGGGAGCTGTACGGGCTAGTGTGAATGGCCCATACAGCACCCCTTCGGTTCTACTGAACCGAAGGGGTCCTGGGGCCGAAGCTAGCCGAAGGATTGGCCGAAGCTATGGCTAGATCCTTCGGCAGCTTCGTGAATAGACCCCATAGACTCTTACTCTATGAGGAAGCCTAAATGGTGAAATGAGTTAGAGAATGAGAACATATGGGGAGGAAATGGACACTGTGTAATTTGCTATTTGAATAAAGATTTTCTCTGGTGACGATCCCGTGGAGTGCGGTATTTCCTGAACTTTTGTTACTACAAGCGATAGCATGCTTATTGCCTCCGCCTGGGATACCATCAAGGCTGGGATCTGGTTCTTGAATGTGAGCAGTGGATCACTCTACACACACACACACACTCACATAATATAGATAGAACGTCCTATTATAACATGTTTAAAATATGAAAATACTGTTTTGCATTGACAATAAAACAAAGTTAATAATGTATATGCAAAAAAAAGGATGCCCTTACATGGGGGCATGAAGATCCAAGGTCTTCACGTTCTCGTTGCATACATTCACATTGTTCGCTATCATTGGTTTAGTGTGGGCTACCATACATCTGTGTGGTGAGGGGAAGCTACAGCAGGGTAATGGATGTCTGCATATGAGTACAGATCAGTGGACTAGAAATGTCATATTGGCCCTTTTACCATGCGCAACACCACCGCCATTACACTACACAGTTCTATGGACAGGAATTAAGAAAGCTTCCTGCACTAATGGCGCAGAAAATAAGTGTGAGTTGTGTGTCTGTGGAACATTAACAAAGCAGATAGACCTGAAACAGGTCTATCTGACCAACCCGTGCCAGCTTTCATTGCAGAGGTAAATAGAAACAGACAAGGGTTAGGGTTGCCACCTTTTCTTTAACCACTTCAAGACCAGGGTGTACGTTTAATAAACTGTGATAAAACTAGCTTTATCACAAGTTAACTTTACTCAGCAGATCTCTTTGTTTTTCTCGGCTGCACAGAGGCTGTTTAATAACCTGCAAAAAGAAAACTTCTCACGTAACAGCTGTGAAAGGCTGAGATAAGTTATCTCAGTGATCAGTTGAGAAAGCAATGTGGGGAATGTATTCTGAGCTGCACAATGACATCCTTTGTGATAATCTGCAATCCTCCTGACAGGATCGTAGTTTAATCTGCCAAACCACCTATTAACAATATTACAAAGCACCTCTATAGCAAAGTGCAACAGTTATTTCACCATTAAAACTATGAAAATTGCTAAAAAGCAGGATTTACATGTTCTGATTTGTTCTGCATGTACCAGTACAAAACCATGTATCAAACTACCAGAGGCAGCCACAATGCGAGGCAGCGATGGGGTTAAACATTCTAAAGGGGCACTCTGATGGAGCCTAGCAATGTAAGTGGGCACTCTGACACATGCTGGAAATTAGAATGTTTGGCGTCCATGAAAAAAGCCTGCTGTCCCGAGATAGGTGCATCAGCACTGTGTGTGTGCAAACACACTAGCAGCAGGTATTAACGCATCATAAACGGCGGACCATGGTGGCGAAATGGTGTTACAGACTGTTATGTACGCACACCCCACACAAGGCACTGTGCCTTGTGAGCCCTGATCAGCTAAAGCCGTGCAACTGACCGCAGGTCAGGTGCAAGACTTTGCCCAATCAGGGCACAGAGAACATTGAGAGCCATGATTGGGAAAAGTAATGATGACTCTGCCCAATCACGGCTCACCCTGTTACAACTGTAAACAGTTGGGTGGAGCTAGCTGTCACTGCTAGCTACACCCAAATGTTTATAGGTTACAGGCATCTACCCCTTTCTCATTCACAAGGGGGGGAGGTGGCATCTGTGTGCCCCTTTATTAAAGGGGTACCCTGATGTGAATAAGCCTCCTGCCCGCACCCCCACAACCAGGGCTTGTGGGGAAGAGGCCGTTGTCCCCATCAGCACAGACAAGGTGCTTTTCCAGGGTCGCCCCTGGAAAAGCACCCTCTTAGTGCCGAGGGCATGTGACCTGTGTGGGAGGGAAGGGGGGCGCTCGCTCGTCCCTCTGCCCTCTTTCCGGCCCTGCCAGCCTATGCTGGGATCAAGGGTCTGGTATGGAATTTTAGGGGGGACCCCCACATTTTTTCCCCTCCACTTTAGGGGGCGGGAAGCTCTGTACAGAGGAGCTTACTCTCTAATGTCCCCCCCACAGTCGCATCAGTCTCTGTACAGAGGAGCTTACACTCTAATGTCCTCCCCCAGTTACATCAGTCTCTGTACAGAGGAGCTTACACTCGTGTCCCCACCCACATTACCCGCTGGACGCAGGGCTTTGTGACACGCTGGACACTAGACATGTGCACCGGGGAAAAAATTGTTTTGTTTCAGCTTGTTTTGGTTCGGATTTTGTGTTATTTTGTTTTTAGGGATTTGGACGAAATTCATTAGCGGCATTCGGTACGAATGTTCATTTCCGTTTCATGTTCGTATCGTTCGTTTCATTGCAGCAAAGTGACAAAAAAAATGTCTACTGGACGCAGGGCTTAGGGTTAGTTCACACCATAAGCAGTGCGCTCCGGTCCGATTGAAGTGAATGGCACCGTAGCCATCAGCAAGAGATGCAGATCATACTGATTCTCCACTGGACCACCAGGGAATTATTTTCCTTTAATATATTGCCGTTTCGGCAATATATTAAATGAGATGTGGGCACTTGCCAGGTTTAAAGATGGCCGCCGCTACTCGCAGCATCCATCTTTAAAATGTAATGTGCAGTCAGTCACTGCAGTGGACGGAGGCAGACTGGAGACAGGGGGACACCGGAGGCCCGCACAGAGAGTGCACTCAAGGTGAGGATCTCGAGTGTGCGGGCCCCGGCTTCTTCCAGTGCTGCGGGGGCCCGACCGCCTCCACCTCCTGCCAGTCACCTGTACGGCCGTCGGCCTATACTCATGTAAGGTACCCGGCCGGGCCCCTCAGGTGGCGCCGGGCCCCTTTCTTGCGTACCGGCCGTACCCCCCTCACGGCGGCCCTGTCTGGGGGGAACCCCATGCTTTTAAAACATTCTAACATTCCTGGTATTGTTTGGGAGGGGGAACTGCATGCTTAAAATAAATTTTTTTTTTCTTTATATATATGTCAGTTTTGCTGCAGCAGGGTCTATACATTGTACAGATGTGTCACTTTACAGGATGGTTAAGAGGACCCCCAGGAACGAGATTTAAAGGAATTTTTCATTTTTATTGTTAATCTTTAAGTGATGTTAAAATCACTGCGTCTTTAAAAGTTTTTTTTTTCATGGATTCCTGTCCCCCAGGGCAGTACCCGGACCCCCATACACCTTCTATGGCCAATAACTTATAATATAATAGCATATAAGCCCTCTTAACCACTTCAAGACCAGGTGTTTAGACCCCCTTCCTGGCCAGGCCATTTTTCAGTATTCAGCGCTGCAGTCCTTTGACTGACGTTTATTCCGTCATGCAACGCTGTACTGAAATTAATTTTATACCATTTTTTGGGGACAGATAGGAGTTTGAACCCAACTCGGGCCTGTGCGGCCCATCAGTAGTAAGGATGGGTGGACAGCAAGGAGGGCACTGCAGGAGGGAGAAAAGAGAATGTCTATGCATGGACAATACATTATCATGCAACAAATAATGGAATCCTCATGCAAAACTTTAATTGGTTTGGCACATAAAATGCTTTAAGCAGAAGTCTGGGGAAAACATATTAACCCTTGCAGTGGGGCTACCCCACACTACAAGGGATAACTGCTCATTTTGGAGGAAAATAACAAAGTTATACTCACATGATCCTCAGAGCTGGTCAGCTGCAACAGTGCTCCCTCTAGCCTGTCTCCTCCTCCACTGCAGCAATGGACTGTCCCTTGGTGTCCTGACATACTATACACCTTCTATAAAATGTGATGATTTACGGGACCTCAGACCACTGCAGTGGAGGGGGGAGCGAGAAGAATGGGACTGGCCTAAGAACAAACCGTCTCTAAGGATCAGGTGAGTATATATTTTTTTCATCCCTAGACACGAGGGAGCAGTTAACCCTTGCAGTGCATGGGTAGCCCCAGTGCAAGGGTTAATAACAATTTTCCCCAAAGTTCTTCTTTAAGAAGTGTGAATTTATAAATTGACAAATTTTAACATTAACAGGAAGTCACTGTGTGGGCCTAAGCTCTAAAATCCCTTCTTAATGGCCTAATATATTATTATACAACACAATAAGACACAGAGGGAAAGTTATCAAAACTGGAGCAGCTGTGCATGGCAACCAATCAGCATCCACCTTTCATTTTCAAAGCTCAACTAAACAAACTGAAGAGAGAAGCCAATTGATTGCAATAGGCAACTGCTCCAGTTTTGATAAACCCCCTTCCTGAAAGTTAGAAAGCATGACGGGTATACTGAGCAAGGTGTCACAGGGTGAATGTACTGACCAGTCGAATGGTAGCGAGGGTGTTCTCAGGGCCATCGTGGGCTCCTCCTCTGTGGGCGATGATGGACACCTTGCCCGCGGGTCTGAGTACATGCAGGGCCCGGGACTCAGGTACAGGGAGGAAGCGGGAGAAGAGCAGTAAGAGATAGAGGCCACTGACCAGCAGACAGGAGAGGAGAGGACTGCGTGAGATTAGTAATGCCAACACAAAGAGACTGGAGAAAGACACCAGCAAGCCCTCACCCCACAGCATGGCTGCCAGCCCACACACAGGCCTGCCCTGGCCTGGAGCTTGGACGGCTCTGGCTGCCGTGCAGCCTCCCCTGTTTTGTAGGCAGTGTGAGGCGGGGAAAAGGCAGGAGAAGTGAACAACCAGCTGCTGATGTCATTGCAGGCTGCACTAATGGGAGCCTCTGGTGTACACAGTGATAAGGGCTCCTGTACACAGACATAAGGAAATGCTCATATATACTAGCGATGTCCAGTTCATGAACAAATCGTTCTTTGGAATTTATTCTTTTCGTTGAACTGGATGAATCATCAGACTGAACAGACTCATTTGAAAGGGTTTAGTGTTGAAACAATAGGACAGCAGCACTAGTAATGTAATCCGAGAGTGAGCGAGGTCGGCTTCTGCTAGCCCCTCCCTGCAATCAGCCAGCTAACAGAACACTGAGAACAACTGTTTACTAATGTATAGCAGTTCTGAGTCAATAGTACAACAGGACACTGAGAACCAACAACTGTTTACAAACGTATAACAGTTCAGAATCAATAGTACAACAGGACACTGAATCAAAGAATCACGAGTCTTCAGTAGAACAGTCCCTGAATCAATGGTCAGGCTGCAGCAGTGGTAAGGGGCAGACATCCTTTTCTACAGCCCTGCAGTGAGATAAGAGAGATGACACACAGGGGGAATTCTGGAGCAGACAGAACCTGAAGTAGTTGCTCATGGCAATCAATCAGCTTCTCTCTTTAGTTTGTTCAGTTAAGATTTGAAAATGAAAGAGAGAAGCTGATTGGTTGCCATGCCCTGCTGATCCATTGTTCATAGATTCCCCTCATGGAGTCTGGATGAGAGGAGATCCTCATTCAGACTGATGCTTTAACCCTTTAGGATGTTAGTTGGCTTCTCCTCAAGGAGATATGTACAGTATGTTAACCCATTCATGACTGAGCTTTTTTTAGTTTCTGTTTGTTAATGACTGAAGCGCTTTTTAGATTTTTGCTGTGCAATTCTGCCACGGCAGTAATAGACTTTCTTACTAAGTGCACCCACACATATTATATACTGTTTTTTAGACAACAGATACGGCTATATATGTATATCACATATGTGTGCCTAGTGCCTCATTTAGGATGAATAAAATATAAATAAATAAAAGAAAAAAACACTTTTTTGCCTCAGCTTTGATTAATTTTTTTTTTTGAAAAAAAGCACAGCTAAAAAAATGCATTCAAATAAAATAATTTATTTGTCCTTTATTTGGAAACACCTCACATCCCTAGGATTTCAGAAAAGTTTCTGTGCTCTGAGCCTAAAACTAAAAGCTAACCTTTTCATTTTTTTTTCTCTAAAAGCTAATAGTGGTCACTTGGCATACAATGTCACTAAGCATCATTAAATGTCACACTTAGTGACAGCGACATACTTTGAACATCGCCATCATGAGGGGGATTAAATGTTACAAAAAATAACCTCTTAGAATGAAAAACAAATCTGCAGCTCAACTGCATATTCTCATTGTAAGGGGTTAATTTTTAGAATATAATGATATATATATATATATATATATACACACATACACATACATACTTACTATCTCTTTTCTACACTTTACACTATTTTTCTACACATTTTTTACACTTTTATTCTTTAAATTTTTAATTATATCAAGCAGTCATTGTGAATAAATCTCACTATGACTGCTTGATAAATTTAACTACTTGCCGTCCGCCCGGGCTTCAAGTGGTTGTTTATTTAAATGTTGGTTATTATTAGGCTGGTCCAAACTAAAGGTTCACCTTACAATTATCATTCAACAATTGTCTGCAATTGTGGTTTCGTACGATAATATGCCAGTTGATGGGAAGTGCACGATCACAATTACTGTACAACTGGACGAATTTGGTTGCACTGGCAGACTAGAAAACGTAATTTGAAGCAAAAAAAAACAAAAAAAAAACGATGGATTCGTGGCATTTCCGTACAACAAAAATCGCAAAATGAACACTGAACATGTGCAAACGAAAATCTGTTCTGTCGATCACCAAAATTCAGCCCGTTAGTATTGCTGACGAACGATTACAGTGGTCTAGAAATTTAGGGAAATTATCGACCTGTGTTAATTCTTACATATTTTGATTAGATGAATTAGAAAACAGGTGATAAAGGTTCTGGTTGGTTGGCCAAAGTTTTCAAGATTATTTCACAATAAAGATTTATACACAGGCGCATATATTTGCCTACAAGGGAGGGAGATGTCTGATGATCATGATGCCTCGTAACTTCCCGACAAAGTACGGTAGAACAATGAAAATGGTACCACATGGAAGTGTATACATTTATCTTCACTTTGAGACTAAAGATTATTGCCTGTCATTTATTGTTCTTTTATTGCCTCAAAACTGTGTAAACAACGCAGTTAACTTCTGCTACATTTGCGGCGACGTTACATTTGCATCTCAAAAGTGCAGTATGACGGCAGTGGAAAAAAGAAATAACCATCTATATTTTGGATGCAAAATAGGGGAATCTTACTGTGGATGATTGTAACCATATATGAATATAGCAGCAGCTATTCTCCCATTGGAATGAGCAAAACAGGACTGCAGAGGCTTCAAAAGTCACGACCATGGTTCCCCCTAGGGGGCCGCAGGAGAAAACCGAGCAACGAGGAGAGGACTGCAATGGAGATGATGCCTAAACACATTAGCAGAATATTCAAAAATACTACATACATATATAAAAATCATATATATCATACCTCGCGAGCCCCTTTAAACAGGCCCCTGGTGGCTACTCTGTTTACATTTGTAAAGCCAACTGTCAGTTTTACACTGGAAGTGATTCTGGCGGTTGAGCTGCTACCAGATTGCTTCCAGGGGCCGGTGTAATGCATCTTCCCCCTCCCCAACACCCCTGCCTTTCTTCCCGGGCTATGCTGCCCCTCCTGTAGGCCTGGGACTGGCTTCACTGGTGTCATGAAGCGAGGAAGGAGACTGACGAACATCTGTTCGCCGATCTCCCCACTATTAAATGGGGCCAGAAGCGATGCTGATTGCATCATTTCCGGTCCCTCAAATGTCATTGCTCGGCTACAGAAGGCGGGCAAGAAGCTATTGGAAAACAAAAGGGAACAGAGCGCCACCTCTGTGTGTAAAATCGTTTATTAGGATGAATAAAACAAGGGATACATTTACTCACAAGCAAATGTTTTCATCAGGCTTTAGCAACAAACAAGAGGCCACCCTGTCTGTTAACCCACATGGTATCAGCCCGACTATGCAACACGGTAGCCTCAGGTCACATCACCGGGTGATGTGACAGGAGGCTACCGTGTTGCATAGTCGGGCTGATACTATGTTGGGTAACAGACAGTGTGGCCTCTTGTTTGTTGTTAAAGCATGATGAAAATGTTTGCTTGCGAGTACATTTATCGCTTGTTTTATTCATCCTAATAAACGATTTTACACACGGAGGTGGCGCTCTGATGCTCTTTATGACTGAGTTATTGTTGTGCAGCTCTGTCATGCACATTAGATTACTGCGGTAATAGAAATAAAAAATAAACAAATAATTGTGATAGTGAAATGGTTACTGCCCCTTGCCCCAGATATTTTTTTTTTACTGGAATAATTACGATAAAAAGAAAAAAACCTGCACTTAATTATTTAACTGTCTTTAGACAATACTTTCTTAAAGCAACAACACAACATATTTAACAAAAGGAGATAAATAAAACACACAAAAAAAAAAAGAGTGCAAAATGAGTTTACACAGTTTGCAAACTAATGGAAACATTTAGATAATGTATCCCTCTCTGTGGAGCTGCGTCTTCAGGAGAGGTGATCTTCGTATTCAGAAAAATGAGCTGCCTAACTTTGTTTGGATTCAGCCTGATTCTTCTTTCTGAAAAGATCTGGCCAGCTTTTGAAAATATTCTCTCTGCAGGCACAGAGGTAGCTACTATGCAAAGTATTGTCTTCATAACAGCGGTTAGCTTTTCATAGATTGTCTGCCTTGCTTTTCACCAGGCCAAATGGTCTTCAGTCCTTGGGATAAGGGACTCTCATAAGCTCTCATTTGGATGGATGCAGTGGATGGGGGGTTGCAGACTAAAGGTGCCCATACACTGCACGATTATCGTACGATAATCGTATGCGATCGGTTTTTCGTACGATAATCGAGCAGTGTGAACGGAGACGTGCGACCGTTTCTACTGTACGGTCGCACGTCTTCTGTCGAACCAGCATGTTCGAAAACCAGCCGGGAATCGTACGATTCTCGGCTGGTTAGAACGGTGCTCGGAAGATAAATGCTGAACGGGCCGGTGTGCGCACGCGCACACTGCCCGTTCAGCATTGCGGTCATCGGAAGCCCGCCCCTCAGGGGGGCCGGCTTGCGATGATCGAGAGTGCGATCTGCCTGTCCAAGATAGGCAGATCGTACGTTTTTTTAATCCCTTTACAACCATCGCAAGACTAAAGTCTTGCGATGGTTGTAGAGTGTATGGCCACCTTTACTGTGTCAGCCACTTGCTCATCAAAGTCCGCCCAGAAAGAAAATTGTTGTTCAACTTGCAGAGGAACTGAGGGGTCTGCAAGGCCAGCTTGGTTGATCCGCTTGGGTTATGGACCCAAATCTTGCAGCAGCTGCAGTTACACTTTTGGAAGCTTCATCTGCTGCTCCAAAGTGCCCTTTACTTGAAGCTGCAGCTGATGAAAGTGTTCAATTTGGTGAAAGCGATTTTGCATTTCTTCTGTCAATGATTTCAATAACAGGGCCATAATTGGACACAGCACCACATAATCGCTGGACAATGTTTTGCAGTCCCCATCAAAATGACCTTTGATGCAGTCACATATCTGTTATAGTGAGAACAAGGACACAAATTACGAAATGCATGCAATCAAACCTATTGTAGGCCAAATGTATAAATTATTGTTGTTTGTGACAAACAAAAAAGTAGTAATATATGTAGTTTGAACTATGACAAAATAATACTTTAAAATTATGCATCAGTTTAAATGGTAAATATAATAAATTAATACAAACCTGTCTACTCTGATTTCTACAGCAACCTCTTCAAAGGGCTTCAGCAGTTGG